CATACCACCTCCAATAATAATTGTTCGATTTAGACACCATGGATACTCTCGTACTCTTGTCAGTTCAGTCAGTAGCTTCCATTTAAACATGAAATCAATGAAATTTCACACACCTGCAAATCACCCATTTAATTTACAGTAAAAATTTTCAAGGAAAAATATGCATAAAATTCTTCAAAGTACATGTTTTATCCAGAAAAATCTGGCAACTCTCGAATGTTCACATGCCGTTTTCCCTTAGCATTGTGCCTCAAGTCGCGTCTCGTCTCAAGCCTTTGCGACATCTACGTCTTGAGGAAAAACACCGTATCAACATTTCAACGTCGCCACATTAACAGGGCTTTTCATAAAACTGCGCCCTCGGGGGAAGAAAGAAAACCGATTCTGCATCGCAGGGGTACACGGAATTTATGTCCACTTTTTTTTACGTCCACAGACTTTTCGTCCACAATTTTTACGTCCATAGCTCTAAAGCCCACACTATTGTTAATTCCATTACTTAAACGTCCACTAAGTTAAGTCCACAAATGTAAAGTCCACTAAAATCAAATTCAAGTGTCATATTTTAGTCCGTGTGTAAAATTATATTGACAATATCGAAATGAGAAAATTAAGAGAGAATGAGGTGTTGTTATCGTAACTCATATTTTAAATGAAATGTTAATTTCTTCTTTTGATTCATCTTTTCAAATTGTCTTTGGTAAATATTAGATTATTAGATTATTTAAATATTAGAGCCTAACACAGAGCGGAGCGACGTGTTAGCAGCGCAGAACGCGCACTGGCGCCTACAAACCTAACGGGATACTTCTCGCATTGCGCAACGCGTGAAGTATCCCGTTAGGTTTGTAGGCGCCAGTGCGCGTGTCACGTTGGTTGCCTGCCGCGCCGCAACGCTTTAAGCAACTATTTCGCGTCAGAGGCGCCACAAGGCGCACGAAATAACTAGTTAATGAGGACTTTCAATTTTGACTGCATCTGTTACTAAAAAATGCTTAATTTGGCATTGGAGCGTTTCCTAGGCTCCCGCTTTGGTTTTCATCTTATCATATCCGTTACAGTGTACCCATGAATATATGTTTATATCTGCTCTTAGAGTCTGTTCTTTTTCATGACTTGCTTCATGAATGAAATGTTTTTAAGAATGAAGGTAGTAGTAGTATGCATTTATTTTTGAGGTGGTTCCTGTCATTTAAATGAAATTTAAAAAAATGAAATAGTCTGAAAATGGGTGGCGGGACTCTTTAACTCATGAGCCCTGTCCACAAGGCTCTTGTCACATGCCCACGGCTCACGAGTTAGCGCTAAGCTCCTCTTAATTTGATAGAAAATCCCGCTTTTCCATTTTCTCAAAAGGAACTATATCCACTGACCACATCGTATCTTATCCAGCTTCCATGAGCACACCCCATCTTTCCACTTTCACATAGTTCCTTTTAGCATAAATACGTCCAACTGAGTATTACGTAATTTTTTATAGCGAATGCAAATCTTCGTCACGGGTGCATTACGCGTGGGGGGGCCAATTTTCCTCGCCAATTTTCGATTATAAATCTTAAATTAAACTCGGAGCAAAATTCTCCGAAAATCGGAGGAAAATATTCCGAAGTGCTCCGAAAAACTCTCAACGCTCGGTTGGCCCCTCGGTTATGCAGCCCCTAGGAGCATATTCGGCTCCACCGAGCCGACACCCCCCCCCCCCCNGCTTATCCGGGGGACCCGAGCGGGCCGGCTTGCGACAGGTGGTATGCAAAGTGACGTTTATCCGTTTTGTCCCGCGACTTAAATCACGACCCGGTGCATATTTTACGGCTCCGGCCGTTTTCTCAATGGACGCGAAGCGACCGCGCTCGCTGCTCAGTTGCCCGTTCGTCTGCACCCCACCGGCGTCGCACAAAGGATCGAGTCAATAGGAGAGGTCGGACAAAATTTAGAAACTTTAAAAGCTTATAACTCCGTTTATATAAAATTTTGAGGCTCTTAAAGTGGTTTCATTGGTTTCCTTGTAAAATTTTCTTCTCAAAGCAACCCTTGAAATTTAAAATGTGACAAATTTAACATAAAAAATTTGCAGTTTTAGTAAAAAATTGAATGTCCGACCTCTCTAACTGACTCGGCCCACTGTGCGTCGGGCCTTCGTCGCTAGTATTCTCACCTCCCCGTGTCTCGGGCCACGGCGAACTAAAACCGGCAGCGAGCAGTATCCGAAACCGCCGCGCGCCGTGTCGGAATCGGAAATGAAGTTTGGCCACTCTTCAAACTGACTTCGGTGAAGTTCCCATTCAAGCTTCGAGTGTGTGACTTTGGTGATTTGGACATGTTTATATTTTACTAGGAGGCTACGCCCCCTGACCGCTTTGCGGTCTAAACCCCCGAAGCGCTTAGCGCCTGCCTCGCTCCATGCGTTACGCGTTGGTCTGATGATTTCATGTTATAGGGTTGGTTTAAACAACTTTCAACGTTTTTTAAACTTTTTCCCTTACCGTAGATCCTGACCGGCAACTTAAATTCAAGGAAAATAATGTTTTAAATGTACCTGCCCATTTTTGCCGTCATAACTCACTAGACCACATAGTACTCTTGATAAATTTAAAGAACATCACCGTCAATAGTTGAGTACCCCTCAGATTGGCACTTTCTGTATTAAGATTAAGAATATAATGTGTTCTTGTGAGTTATGACGGAAAAAATGGTTATGAATATTTAAAAATTTATTTTCTTAGAATTTAAGTTGCCCTTCAGGGTCCACGGTGAAGGAAACTAGGGGAGCGAGAAAGTATACAAGTCTAAAAAATGTTAACATTTATTAAATTAACCTTATAGGTCATGATAAGGAGCTACGAAGCACGCAAACCCTCCTTTGATCTGTGCCGGTCAATTCGTGCGACCCTTTCAGCATAACTATCTCGTTAAAATGGCATCGTCTTTTGGTGCCTCAGTAGTGAACGTTTTTTGAACAGCGAAAAGCTGACGTATTTATGTTAAAAGAAAATATAAGGCCAATCATTCCCCTCCTTTTTTTACCCCTCCTCAGTAATAATAAAAAGAAAATAAATAAAAAAAAACTCCGGTGAATAACTCCCAAACCATGTATTTCGTTGTGAAACGTTGCAGACTTCCTGTCATACTTTAATAACCTGCTTTGATGGAAAGCTACTTGGTGTCAATTTTTTTAAAACTTACGCGATTTTGCCTCTTTGTGATGGGAAGAAAATGTGAAAACTCCAAAGATGATGTTAATTCGTTCTTTTTCAAAAATTTAAAATGCGGGAGTGTAGATTTTAAGACATGGCAAACGAGATACGTGGTTTGTGGTTTGGGAGCTTCACCGTGCAGATGTGTTGAAATCAAAAAGTTCTATGAAGTAGGTAAGCAAATCAGCGGGCCGATTATTGAAATTGATAGACAAAGCTATAGACCAAGTAGACAATAGAGGTATCGAGGGCTCCTATTGGTGGAGGCAGGTGGTTGCAATGGACAAAGGAGGTAAGTAATAGACTACCCAATAGCAACCCACGAGAGACCTGATGTATAGTTAGCCCTAGACTTTAGGAACCGCACCCATTTCAACCTACAGGATCGCTCCATACGGTCGTTTTCTTTGTCTATCGCTTTGTCTATCACTTTCAATAATCAGTCCGCAGTGTGCATTCAATTTCTTTTCATTTTCATCACGAAGTCCATTCCAATGCTCTCCCTGCCAACTGTTTCTTAGACCATGATTTTATTAGCCTTGAAGTTTTAAGCTAATATATATTTGCACAGAATCCAGAAGGGAGAGACAGGATTTCATGATACATCATGAATATACTTGACCATAAAACTTCGATTTCATATCAGACTTGGAGCATTTTCTCCGAGTAAGATTCAATCGTAAAGTCTGTGGATCGTCGCGTAGAAGGAACCTCTGAAGTATAACTGCCTGTTGCGCTCCGAGAATTAAGCTGTGCGGGGAGTCCCAAAATATACACGGGGGGTCCAACCTTGGCCATATTATTACCACGCTCATGCAACAGGACAGCTTGTATTCGAGGATAGTGACATTATAATAGGCCGTTTCAAAAGACATTCAATAGGAGTTTAAGGTGGTTTACTCCTCGTAATCCTAAACAAGAGAGGAAAAGGTTAAAATCCATAATTTGTCATTCATACCTACACCAATCGGACCGCGTTTGGCAGAAAGAAACCAAGCCACATCAGCTATTGACAAGTTTAACTTAGCAATTCATTTTTCTCAAGAAAACTTTTGCGCGGATTCTTTTGAAAATTTTAAAGACTTTGTTTCGTACTATGCAGAAAATTTAACGAAATTTGCACCAAAATCCGCACAACCGTTTTTAATTAAAAGATTAAATTGCCAATTAAATTTTGCAATCACTGATGTTGCTTCTTTCTTTTCTTCTTAACGCGGTCCAAATCATTTCCAATGATGACGTATCAACGGTGTAATTCGGCAATCACTTAACTCGGTTTGCGTCGTCGCAGACTTCCTGTCATACTTTATTTCTTAAAGAAAAAACTACTCAACGTCAATTGAAAAAGCTGTATGTGTAATTCGGGTTTAAAATGTAAGTTCTAGGATGGATTTTTGTTGACTCTGGATGAATTGGGAATGAGATACAAGGAGATTTAAGGGGCTTGGAGGACAAGGCGCATAAGAACAGCTTTCGTTATTCCGAGAAATACGTGTTTCCAGTTTCGAAATTACATGGATCCTTTTGGCGGAAACAAAGTTTAAAATAACTTTTCGGTGCTTAAAAATTGAAATTTAGGAGTGCATTTTTCACAGATTACGCAATAACACTAGTTTTACTTGATATTCTTATAGTATCTTAATTTTTTCAAACACATGCACTTATGCCCTCGTCCTCCAAGCCCCTCACTTGATAGAGTTTCAAATTATTTTTTTGATTCGTGTTGTCTCATAAGTTATGTATTGCTCCTCTTGTATTACAATTTTCAGGAATAAATTTCAAAGTTGTGGGTGTTGGATTTTGCAGACGGAGTTTCGGGAGTGCGTGGCATGCGGTCAGGCTATCACGGACAAGTACTTGCTCCAAGTCAACGATCGCTCGTGGCACGCTCAATGCCTTCGCTGCTCCATCTGTCAGATCGTCCTCGATCGCCAGCCCTCCTGCTTCATTCGCGACGACTCCATCTACTGCAAGCAGGACTATGCTAAGTCAGTACACACTATTTACTTTACTTTACATTCCATACAACTCATTTCTAGTAATACTAATCATTATTCCACTAGCCATTCTGGGCGCGCGCGCGCTTCAAGCGTCCGTCATTCCTGGCCAAGGGACTGCGCCCCCTGGACCCCCGGTGACATGGCCCAAGGAGCGAGCCATTTTTCTGAGTAGTTGCACACTTGGGCGAATTTCTATCAAACGGAACTATGTGCATTAAGATATGAGCCCTGAGACCCTCAAGAATATGTGTATAACAGGGCTCACGTCATAATGCGCATAGTTCCGTTTGATAGAAATACGTCCATTTAATCATTATGATGTGTACATTTTGGAGACTCTCAAGACAAAACTGATTTAACCTTGTTACCGGAACGTGCGCCATCATTTGCACATTAATAAATATATGGCCAGGAAGCAATGATGGAGTTCGATCATTTCTTCATTTTTTCTTATAGTTTCATTGCATGTAAATTTCTCTTATTTTTTTATTTTTATTTTTATTTTTTTTATTTTACTCTCTCTCTGATTGCATGAGTAAATCATATCTTCATTTCATTTCCTTTCCTTTTATAGCATCTGTGTCGGTGGCGTGGCTAAGAATTCTTAAGGAAAGGGGGGGGGGTGGTCCATTCGCCATTTTGTGTGTCCCTGATGTCCTGATAATATTTTATACCTGCCCTCCAAAAGTAAAAAAAAAGGAACAATTAACGAGGCGGGGGGGGGGGTCTTGTGTACGCCACTGGTCTGTTTCCATTTACAATTATTGTTTTAAAATAGCCTTCCCTGTAGAATACATTTGATGCAATCAATTTTGAATCCTTTTGTGAGCGAAGGCGGGAATTTGGCACATTCGGCAAATTGCGGGTGCATTGGTCTTGGAGTTCGACATGCATGTGGAGCGGGGCTGGTGCGCTAATCCAGGTGTCAACAGCCTCGAGGAGTCGCTGCATTATCATAGTTAAATGGCGCTAATTAGAGCCACGCTCCGTTCTGCTCTCCTCTCGCCGTGTGATAGATCGCATGATTTATGCCATTGCTCTCGCCAATTTATCGCTTTCCTCCGTCGAAACTCCCGAAATCGGCGCTTCTCACGAGCGCAACCACCTTCCGTCGAATCATCTCTCATCGCCACATTTCCGATCCAGCCTTGTCAAATTTTACCATTTTCTCACCCACACCCACCTTCAAATCGACGGTGAAAGCGCAGAAATGCGTAGCTCGGTTTGCGACGTTCCAGACTTCCTGTCATACTTCATTTTCTACGCGGAAAACCACCAAAACGTACTTCATTTTCTGCGTGGAAAACCACCAAAACGTCTTTTCTTGAAAACCTCAGCGATTTTTCTTCTAGATATGCAAAGCATTCTGTGAAAACTTTGTTTCCTGTGAAAAGGGATAATAAGAGCGGAGATTTTGAAACACTAAAACCGATAGACGCACTTCTGCAGTTTACCGTCAAAATCTCTTCTAATCCTCTTATCATTTTATTTTTTCGTAAAAATAACTTAAATTAAGTTCGGTCCTCATTGAACTGTAATATTCAGCCTAAAATGTTCAGTTAATTGCTTTTACAAGCCCGGTTGCATGCACTCGATATTTTCTCGAACAACGAAATTCCTTGCATTTGCCATTTACAGACCACCATCTGTGTCGGTTATTTTCCTACACAGGGCAGATGCTTCAACGGATTAGCCAGGGATAGTAATTTCTCATTGCAAAATGTACTTCATTTGAATGGCACCATATATCATTCAATGAAATATTTTTGAAGGTGTTATGAATATTTTTCTTCGAAATATTTCAGGTTTGTGAAGTTCAACCGAGAATAAAAATCTTCGAGGAATCCAAGGGGGAGATTGGAATAACCAGGCATTTTTCAGAAAATCCGTATTTTATTAGGAGGAAAATTTCGCAACGATGTAATACTCATGCGAAGGTTTTCCTCACTACGGAAGAAATGCTTCGCATCTCAATTTGTCATCCTAGCGTTGTATTCCGGCATCGGTAAATTTTTGGCAACTCGGTAATTTACTGGAAGATTTATCGGCCATGATATTATTTTTTTTTTTTTTTTTTGGATTCGTACTCCTCGCCATTTCCACAATTCCTTGAATCTGGGGATTTGTGTTGATTGTCCCTACCCAACGATGACACTGATCTTGTTTCCATTAATTTATGGAGGTTCCCGGCCCCCTCCATGCTGATGGGTGCTCTACGAAATTTATTGTCCTGCCGACCAACACCGATAATTATGCGCTGATAGGCGCCTACGACCAGCAGAAGCTCCCTTGTAAATGTTAAATACAATTAAACTGCTATCATCAATCATAATTTGACAGCTTTGTCCATAGCCTCGTCACCACTCGTAACAGGTTTGCTTCTACATTAGGAGCGTTAAAGTACCTTTTTTTAAGGAAATCAACGACAGGAGCGAGCCGATTCGGTGTTTCACCGAGTCAGATACGAGGTTTTTGAGAAAAAAATTCTTCGCTTTGCATTACTTTGGGCTTATTTTGTCACCAATTTAGCACGCATCACATTAATGTCAAACAGGTACTTGTTGACAGCATTTAAACGGTCTTGAGTTATGCGTGCGAATCTTATAAAACGCCCTTCGACCCTCACTAAAATTAGTGTAGTAGCGTGTTTTGCGATAAATCGATTGATCTATCATTTGAACCTATGGAAAAGGATCGATAAAGAGGGTGTTCGCACCGAGCACCCTAATGATCTCTTTGCCTTAGCTTCAAAAGGGAAAATATCGATGATCTATCTATCATGCCTTGCCACTGCTTCTCTTGTTCTTATGTCCGAATCAAATACACTTTTTTGTGATCTTCTTTAGTCACCAATAGACATTAAGTTCAATCTATGGAAGAGAGAAGGAGTGACAGCGTAAGAAGATACTTCCATTAAAAAGTACATGAAACGGAATAAACACCGAGCATTTTTTTTCACCTACCCCCAAACCTCTTATTTCCCTCAAGAATAACACTGGAGGGTGTATCGGAGAAATTTTCGTGGAACCCACCCCGCGGGGATAACGGAGATCCATTTCTGCCATGCTATAGAAAAACGCCGCGCCGCAAGAACATTCGAGAGTTACCAAAGTTCCCCGGATAAAACATGTATTTTTGAGGAAAGTTAGTCATATTTTCCCTTGAAATTTTCAGATATCTTAGATCAAATTGCGAACGAAATTGTCTGAAAACTTGAAGAAAAATATTCATAATTTTCTCGGTAAATTCTGAATTCATCGAGGGAAACTTGGCAACGTCTGTAGGTTCATACGGCGTTTTTCCGTAGCACCGCAGCAATGATATACTCTTGCAGATTTTTAGAGAGATTGTAACTTGTGCGCACAGATTCTACGGATGGGAGAACTTACTTCCAAATAAATTTTTGCCTTTTTTTGTAAATGTACGTAAATAATTTTAGCACACTTTTTTTTTTAAACTTCGAATTTTTTTGCAGGAAATATTAAATGAAAGTTCCTCTTGATTCAAATGACAATTGTTTTCAATGCGAATATGTCACATGGTTTCATCTTTCAGCACTCGCAATTCGTATCACGATATACAAGGGGCTCAATGGTTTTTTTTTTTTTTTTTTTTTTTTTTTTTTTTTTTTTTTTTTTTTTTTTGAAAATACAATTTTTTTTCTGCCAAAAAGAGGAGCCAAAAAATAAAAAATATGCGATAGTTATTCTTCATAAGAAAACGTGTTAAATTTTTTGCTAAAATTTTCTAGTGTGGCATTGAAGCTGGTATCGGTAACTGACGACATATTTCATCGTTTGAACCGTGCGATTACCTACATACTGAAAGCAAAAAAATTACTTGAATTTTACACGCGCCGGCAATTGTCCCGTTAGGAGGAAAAGACAACGGTAGAGAAGAGGTACAAAGTTGTCAGCTATGACACATGTCAAAATCGTTTCGTTAAATCGCTTCACGCGGTGCACACATTCGACCGAGTTTTTCCACTCGCAACCGACTATTTAGACATATTTCTGCCAAACGGAACTGTGTGCATGAAGACATGAGCCCTGAGACCCATAAGAATACATGCATAAGAGGGCTCACGTCATAACGCACAAAGTTCCGTTCGGCAGAAATACGTCCATTTCACGCTCATTAATACCCGGCAGCGAAGACACCCGCCGAAAACTTCAATATTTGAGCTTTGTCAATTTTGACGGGAGCAATTAGGTGTTTGTTTAGGCTCGCAAAATGAGAAAACTTGGAATGCAAACCGATCGCGTTCCTGAGAGTCGATTTTCGAGTCGATAGATAGCGTTGCTGATGATAGGGATATATCGATCGAGGGCTTTCGACGAGTCGAGGCCTCGATCGCCCACGTTTAATTGTTTTGTGACTTCCGTGAGGCAGACCCTAATGTTCTTGTCACCCGTACACGTGTAAATTGTGCTGTTCTAAGTTCATACATTTATTTCTTTGTGCATGAGTGTGTTGAAAGCCTCCATCAGCACTGAATGTATAGTCCCTCTTACTTTTTCTCAGGGGGATACTATGTAGATGTGGCTAAATTTTGAAAACGCGCAACTTGATCAAAATCACCGTCGCATTTCTTATTTTTTTTTTTTTTTTTAAGAAAAACCAACGAATATTACGGTTTGAGACTCTGACGGAACAATCGCAATGACTGGGTAAAGCAAAATCAAAGAAACTTTCAAGGACCAAACGAGTACATGGTTCTGGCCTCAGAAAATAAAATACGGGAGAAAGTGTACAACATAGCGCATCCTGGGATCCGTTTTTCCAGAGATTAACATTGCCATGATTTATATTATTATTCAAGGAGCTTCAATGAGGTTTTAAGCAAAGCATAATTGAAAAACTTACCGGAAAATTTTCTCAAGGCTCAGTTGTTACGGAAGCATTCCGAGGAGCTCAAATTTATGCTTAGCCTTTTGTTCTCCCTCGATTCTTGACTCGCTCCCGGCTAATCCTCTTTTCCGACCTAT